TTACGACATCGACATCTGTCGCTTTGAAATGAGGAGATTCATGAACAATAGTATCATTACCATTTAATCGAATAGATTGTGAAATCATAAAAATAATCAATCCATTTAATTAAAAAATTAATAGGAAAGATGAATCTGATCATAGACATAACAGAGATAAAATAGCGTGATTTATGTGTAGCATAAAACTCATCTTTTAAGTTCTATCGTCTGACTGCGGAGTTGGAATATGTAACATGTTGTTATGGATACATTTTTCTTATATAAATATAAATATAATTTTTCTTTCATCTTTTTAGATTTTTCTTCGTGCTTATTAGATTACATACTTTTTTTCATTTTTCTTGAATAATATTCCATAAAAATGTCTGGAACAAATCAAACCCAAAGTCAAGGTCAAGGTAAAGGCATGGGAAAAAGCGCGGGAACGAAGTCTATTTCAAGATCTGCTAAAGTAAATATCGGTTGTGGCTAAGTTGTCTTGATGATTTTTTTTAAATATCGATATTTAATTTATTTATTTGATTGATCCATTTATTAATTATAATATCAAATATTTTATTGACGTTTTTAATAGGCAGGCGTACAGTTTCCTGTTGGACGCCTCCATCGTCATCTTCGTAATGGTAATTTCGCTCAACGTATAGGTAGTGGAGCACCTGTTTACATGGCTGCCGTACTTGAATACCTGGTTGCGGAAATCTTGGAATTGGCAGGAAACGCTGCTCGTGATAACAAAAAGCATCGAATCATTCCTCGTCATTTGCAATTGGCCATTCGTAATGATGAAGAGCTTAACAAATTACTCGGTCATGTGACAATTGCTCAAGGTGGCGTGCTTCCTAACATTCATCAAGATTTGTTACCCAAAAAGTCGGGCGCAAAAAAGGATAAGGGTAAATGTTGGTTTATTTTCAGAAAAGATAATTTTGTGTTATGATCTTGCCTGATGTATAATGTTAATGTTTGCTGATTTTTTTTAAAAAAAAATTGTAACAGGTGACAAAGCCGATACATCTGGAGTGCAACACGATGATGAAGAAGAATAATTCAGCAATTGAATATATATTCATTGTTCATGTCTTTTCATATATTGGATTCTTTTACTGAATTGTAATGCTTCTTCTTCATTCACCTTTTAATTTGCTTTGTCTTTGTCCTTGAACAAAATAATGGATCATATTTTTCAAAAATCCTTCTTTTTTATTTCCTTACATTGCAGCATTTTCATGCTAACTTTGATGATTTCATTATGTGATAGTCAATAATAGATATTATCAACGTAAATATGAAATTAAAAAAATAATATTTCCTAGATTTATTCTGTTGTTGCAAGAAATTAAAAATTATTATTATTTCCCAATTTCAAAACTGACGCGTTTTAATTTTGCAAAAGCACCTTAAAAAATTAATATGTTACAAGCAAATTCTTGAATAAAATATAGCGACTGCACCGATCATTAAGTTTTGCCACTATTATCTCGAGAGATCTTCGCCAAGGAAATTGTCCACGTGAATACATCGTCTCACTTCGGCCTCAATGACCTCAATGACCTCAATGATCTCAATGGCTATTACTTTTCAATATCAAAACCAAATAAAATCTTGAAAGTGTAATAGCTTTATACTACTGTGAATATCAGCGAGAAATTAACGTTTTTTCATGTGAATTAAAAACTGTTGGTAAAAAATTTCGGAAAAGTTTTGAACAACCATTATACGTCCTAAACTTTTAACAATTCCAAGGTATGTACGTGTCAAAAAATTAGATTAATAATAAAAAAGGTTTATATTTTTAATTATAGTAAACAAGACTCGGGTCTATCACGTCCATCAAGTTTTAAAACCTTCAGTAAACCAGATATAGTATATAGCTGAGAGGTTATATCAAAATTGAAAGTGCATACCGAATACATGATTCGCATTTATAATAGGCAAGTCTAGCTACTTAAAGATCTGTGGTTCGCTAATTCATGGTACGTAGGTCTACTATCGAAAGAATATCTTGTACGCCTATTTTTAGAGTTTCGATTATTATTAGGTTTAAATTTGGTCTTAAAGACATATGTGGGCTTTTCTATTTAAGGAGATCCGAAAAAAAGATCAACGAAAAAAAAATTTGATTCTAATTCTACCTTAAGGCAACAAAAAATACCGAGCATAACCTAAATGATAAATAAAGAATCGACAATCTCCATATTTAATCGCTGCGTAACTTGGTAAGATTACAAATATACAAGTCACAGATCTATTCGCGAGAATTTGTAACTAATAATAAGAGCGTGAAATAAAATATCAATTACGATTCTTATTTACCAAGTTCGTATAAACTGCTAATTAAATTCAATAAAAGATGTAAACGATTAACAGGCATATGAGACGAATCGAATGATACTTCAAATATCGAATATTACAAGCTGATCGTGTACGTCCTTTCCTGAATTAGCGTCAATAGGCAATTTGTACAAATTTAGTATATGAAACTATAATAATATTTAAGCTATTTAATTAGGCTATACAAAGTTAATGGATTGGTTCTCATAACCGGACCAGGACAGTCTTTTTTTTTTTTTAAAAAAAAAAAAAAAAAAACAATTTATCCATTATAAATCTCGAGTTTACTTCTGGTTTGTTTGTTTTGTTTTTTTTTTAGATTTTCTAAATAAGAAAAATGCATACATTCTAACTTTCCTAAGTGCCATTCTCCTTAACTGCTAAGTACGTATAGTATATACTCTCCCTAAATGTACACCATAAGCTTAATCTCGAGTAGATATTGTATTTGCAATGAATGCACGTGTATATTGTTCAATTATAATTTAAAAGTTTCGATAACACTCGAGATGATTCTTATTGGATCAATTTTATAGACTATATGCATGGCTTTCTGGCATCTTCGCCCACATGCAAATTACATGCAAATCCTCCCTAAATGCAGATTTTGTGCCCAGCTTTTTGAAAATTATGTAATTTTTTTGGCTAAAAATTAAAATCCGGGTTGGTGGTTCATTTGTAAAATTAGCATGTCATGGGAACCGATTAATTAGTTTTGTACGGCTTAATAATTTTATTAAAGTTATACAATACATGAACTTGTATATTGTTGATTAATCAAAATTCGTGTAGACAAATCAAATTACATAAAAATTACATCAAAAATTGAAATAGCAATAATGAATGATAAATTGAACCAGTGTTAGAAATCTAGAGTTTTCTATATTTTTCAAGAGTACGTATAAGATATTTTAAAGAACTAGAATTTCTTTGTTTGAGAATACGTATAAAAAATTTCTATTTTAATTATAATATTTTTAGTTCTTTTTCTTTATAGTTATTAATAATAATAAAAAAAAAAAAGAAATTTTATTACGGAGTAAAAATTTTTTAGATTTCTAATACTGCGTAGAATAGTGTTTAATGACTATTATTTTAAATTTAGGTTCATAGACAGGTTCACAATAGATTCAATGGAAATTTTGGTAAAGTTGTCAAATAATCACTTTACTAACTTTACTAAACAAAGCTTAATCTGAATTAAATTTGACAAAACAATAGCAATCATTAAAATATGTATTAGTAATAAATAATCGAGATACGTATGTACAAGATTTTTGTAAATCAGGTATGGCACAAAATATCGATCAGATTCAATGATTTTTTTATACTTTTTGATTAATCTTTGATTCTAATCAAAAAAATTTACATATACCTAATTCATCAAATGTCTTTTTTCATACGCAGTATTTTAATCTGTATCAAAGAATTGTGGCTATGCTATGAAATCGTACTTTTCTGGCCAATTAGCATTCAAATTATGAGACTTTGTAAAAATGAATTTTAATTTGTTAAAAAGTACATACGTATTTGGAATCTGGTTCTAGGATCTACTGTTGTTCAAAAGTTCATGTGGTAAATTTGAGACCAGAATCGATAAAATTCCTCATTATACATAACAGATAAACATTAAAGATAGTTTTTACTTTAATATATAGTGCGTGAGTGTAGAATAGTAACATTCTATGTTTCCATATATACTAATTTAAGCATGACTATGCTCAATCATTTGAGAGCATGCTTTATAACATACGTACATATTTCATTATACTACGTAAACGCCTCGATTAAAATAATGCATCAATCTAATCAAGACAAATTGTACAGTACAATACGTACTATGCAAGTTTATGGACCAATAGTATAAGTCATTACGTAATTTCACACACGTGATTTTAACTTTCACCTCGGTGTTTGTGTTACAATAAATATTACGATAAAGGCGCAGAAGTTCGGGGCAACCCAAAAATAGTAATAACTGCGGTTTTATTCATAATAATTATCTTGTGTCACGTGAAATTTGCCATGAATTTCTATATCAAGCTAGATTAAGAATAGATTTACTTCTTTCATTGATATTTTAGAGTGACTCAATCATTTATATGTATTAGTGGAAAAAACGTGGTAACAATATGTACAATATATAAATTACACCATGGGATGGAAGCACAAGATGTGTAAAAAAGATTGTCGTTCTACATACATTACGGAGTGATGCGCATTCCGCGTAGAATGTAGCGATAATCTTGCCAGCCACAGGTTACTGTACTACTTCTAATGTTTTATAAATACTGTGAACACACTTTGAAATTTCCCACTACATCAAAATGACGCTAATAGTAATTCAGTAACTCCTTAACTCCGCTGGTGAACTCGCATTTCAAATTTATCGGAATTTAAAAAAAGTACAAAAAAGCATATATCAAAAACGTATAAAACGTATCAGATATACAAAAAAAAAAGCTGCGGTTTAAATTTCGGCATTTCAAAATATATTCATAATTATTATTTTAATTTACTGCGTATATTAATTTTTTCACAAATTTTCTTATCTTAATTTCTTCTTAAGAATAATCTTTAATATTGAGATGTTCCCTTTATATTAAAAATTTAAAAATAAATTCTTGATTGTTTTCGACAAGGTGATTCCAAAAAAAAAAAAAAATATGAGTAATCTAAGAGTGGTAAATTTTACAAGCGAGAACCAAGACTATATGGGTTTTACCCCTCAACAACCAACAAAACGTCATTTGGAAAATCATAATAATTATTTTCAATTTGTTCAAAAGCGTAGAAAATTAAGTAAGGACTATTTCAACTCCCAACTACCACCTATTCAATATGTCGAAGATAGTTCTGATGTAAATCATTTACTAAAGCCACAAGAAAAATTATTATCTCGAAAATCTGTGGCCTCGCTTCCCACTCATCGCCCACTGTCCTGCTTTGGTCAAGAGCTTTGTGAGCGTTCATGCATACCTTTAAAAGTTTTACAAAATAAAACTTGTTATTGTTCGCCGCCGGAGCTATGCTCCGGTCCTACTCGATATGGAATCTCTGATAATGCATTGCATCAATTTCAAAATTCCGTAGTTTCATTCTCTTCTGTATATAGTCCCACTAGATTTCATTCGACTCCCCAACAAACAATGACCAATAACAATGATTACTTTTCAAGAAACGTTAACAATGAATCTAATACCATGTGTGACCACTCAAGCATGGTAAATAATAATAATAATAATATTCATTATCAATATTTTAAGAATGTTCGTATGATTCCTGTCAACGTAAGCAACAATACCGTTCGAAATTTAACGGTTAATGATCACCCTGATGCTCCAGAAAACGATAATCAAGAATTTTCTATTCTCAATATAATTCCATCTTTGATAAGTGAAAAACATCGAAAGGCCGCATTTGTTGAAAATTTAGTTGGTGAGTTATATAGAATATTGCTAAATTAATATATATATATATATATATATACTTCTCTATATGTCTCATTAAAAAAAATGTTCAAAAAAATGTTAGATACCGCTTGTCTTATCGTGGAAGTAATTTGGGCCAATTTTTCTGTTAGTCCAAGCGCAAAAATTATTTCTCTACGTGTATTCATTCAAGAAACTTTGAGACGTTCACGTACCTCTTATTCAACACTTCAGACTGCTTTATTTTATTTAATCAGAATAAAATCTGAAATTGCTAAATTATATCGGTGTACTGAATACTTACCAACTCCAACTTCCGAATATCCTCCAAATGTGATTCCAAATTCAAATCAAAATAATGATCCTGCTACTTGTGGTCGTCGCATGTTTTTAGCTGCTTTGATTGTTGCTTCAAAATACCTTCAAGATCGTAACTATTCGAACCGTGCTTGGTCTAAAATGTCTGGACTTTCCGTTAAAGAAATTAATACCAACGAAATCTGTTTCCTCAAGCTTATTGATTATAACCTTTTCATAGCTGAAACCAATTTTAAGCGTTGGAGTAGTCTTTTACTAACGAATATCCAAGCTATTTCAGGACCTGATATGTCGAATCCAGAAGCATTCAGAGTAGCAAAAAATAGAAGAAAGGTTGATGGATTTCGTGAAACCTTAAAATTTCTAGATCCAGTGACCATGGAATGTGAAAGAGCATATCCAATCACTCCTGCTATCACTCCGACAGATAGTGCGCCAGGATCACCAAACGAACAACAGCCTAATATGTTGAAACAGATGTCATTTTCATCTAATTTATCATCCACATTACAGGCATTAACTGGACAAATTTCTGATATTCCTGAGCATGTTCAGAAATTGAAGTGGAGTTCGCTCAATTATGATTCTGGATATAATTATCAGGTTTTACCAAATAATAATTATGAAAACAACCTTGAAGGATGTCAAGATAGTAGAATAAAAAGAATTCTTGTTCGATCTTTTGCATGAAGTGTTTATATGCTCATTCAAATATGTTTTTAATAAAGAAACTTTTTTGTTAATTTGATTCTTATTCTTTGAGGCTAAACATTCCCATAATGCAGTAATGGTTATGGTTTGTTCATGCCTTTTTCGTTTTTGTGTAACAAATTTTTTAAACCGAAAATTTGCTTTTTGTTTAAAATATACTAGGACAAATACATATGTTCCGAAGTCCATTATGTATTTTGCCTCCTGAAACATGAAGTAATTTTTTTTATATTAATTTTTTTTTTTTTCATTCTTGACATTCATTCATATTATTTACTACTCTCATTTCTATATGTATAATCAGAAATGCTGAATTATGATTATTAATTTTTTATTTCTATTATTTTATATGGAACGCTTCTGATTACAAGTTTGGCCGAATACCTGAATTAAAGTGGCTTATCGTCTATTTACAACCAATAGTTTTTAGATGATTATTGACAGGTTATAAAATAAATTACGGCTTTAATCCTCAGTTATGAATTATTATATGCCTTTTATTTTTTATTTTTTTTTATTTTATAATAAATAACATATTAAAATTAGTACAAAGATTATAAAAAAGTGAAGTTTATAGCCACAATGTCTCTCGAATATTAATTTTATTTAAAAGGTAAAACGTACAGTGCAAACTTTTAATTATTTACATACCTGATTAATTTAAATAATAGTAGCTTTGAAAAATATAAAAGTTTGGTCGTTTATGCCAAATTTGCTAAACTAATTAATATATACTGTATCTATATATTACTACAATATATAATACAATTTTTTTTTTAATTATTAAGGCCTTCCTCGAAACTGAAGCCTTATTGATGTTTTACATGAACTCACGTACAGTACAAAGGTATTACAACAAGAGACAACTAACCACATGTATAATTTTAGGTTGTCGAATTTAAGTAGGCTATTAAAGGTTCTATACTATTTATTATATTTATAATTTACTTGAAGATTTCTGTTTGAACTTTCTAATTACTGTAATTAATATTAATTATTCTAAGCTATATAATAACAATAAATTTTAGTAGTTTGGTTAATACACAGTATTAGTTTTTTGCTATTTTTTTATTTAGTTTATTTCTTTCTAAAAACTAGCAAATTTTTTTAAAGTTATTAATAATCAATATATAATATATAATAGTGTAGATAAACACTATACAATAAAAACTGAGATAAACACTATGAGACAAATACTATGAGACAAAAATATAATTTGATTGGCTGGTTATAAAAAAGATCGTCTTTATTTTA